TTTGGCTTGGTTTTTTTTTTTTTTTTAATTCAACAAGATATTGAGTCAAAATATCTCCACGTCAGCAATTATGGATACCCGACGTAGAAACTGATGTACCAGTAGCAATTCTCTCCAATAAAATGGCCATTGTAATTACAACAAAAGGCTGGGCAGGCCATTTTTTCGGCCATCAATATTTTTTGTTATCATTTTGTTTTTGTTTGTTTTTCTTAAGGTTGACCATTTCCATCACTTCCAAAATTTCTCATCATTTTCAATTTGAACAATATCCAACATATCATGCATCTCGAAAATAGTTTGAACGTACTTATAAGCTACTTAGTATTTATGAAGAAGTCTCTAAATTCAAAAGTAAATTCAGCTACCCATTCACATCTTTCCATCGTCAACCAATCTCGTGATGTCTTATTTTACAATTAATATCAAGATTTCAACTTCACACGTCGACAACAAAGAACTCCTAGTTATTTTTCAACCTGAACACGGGCACTTCTACACACTGACCATAGAATTGTTCGGATTTTGACTCAAAAGTGTCAAAATGGAAAAGGACATCAATTGAAATTATGGATGTAATAAGGATCTCAATATATATTTCCTATGCAATTTCAAGTCCTTTTTCTTGATTTTTGGAAAGGAATGCTAAAAGAAGTAAATTCTAATGAATTTGAAAGAGAAACCAGCCTCTAGTTTCCACAAACATGCTAAAAATTCCAATAAAAGCGATCTGGAATGGAAAGGTTTGGATTTAAAAGCTGAAAATACAATATGTCTCGATCTAGGAAAAATGTCCCTGCATAATCATGGAATTTCTATTGGAAGGGAGCTTTGGGAAAACCTGAAGGGTTTTATCAGAATTTGGTTATACTTGACCGAACATTTTCATTCATTGCAAATGAATGTAGCTACGAAAAATTCAGACCATTTGCGCGATCTCAATGGGATTATTTTTGAACTGGGGTGTATTGGAGTTAAAATTGATGATAAGGATAAAGCGCAAAACCCATCTGGTCTCTTCCATTTCTTAAGTGCATCAGACTTAATTTGATGTTCGGGAAAGAAACTGTAAATTTTGCACATGTTATGAGTAAATTGATTTACGAAGAAAGAAGACAGGATGAAAGTAATATTTCATCTAAAAATTTGTAAGTTGGTGTTGAATAAGAAGGGTAACTCCATAAAGAAGAAAGTAATTTTTTAGAACCATGGACAAACTATGGCGTCAAAAAATGTGTCCAAAAGATGGAACAGACTCTACTAATTGCTCGAAGTTGGGTAAAACGTCTCTTTATGGGAGACGGTGATGAAATCGCTTGAATAAGATTTACAAGCTCATGGTATGCACTCATTGTCATGATAGAGGATGTTATTACTACTAGCGGATCCACGTGTTTGCAAACAAGCATTGGCGGGACATTGATGCTTGATATATGGGTGTGTAGTGGAATTGATGTCAATCACTGATGAGCTCTCTCGAAAGCCAAGCATGAGGGTTACGCCACAGATTTTCATCAGGTTTGTTTTGATATGAGCCCATGAAATTCTTAGAATCTTTTGTTAATTCTTTTTTATTTTTAAATAATAGAAATTGGAGGGTGTGGTAAAGATGATATTTTTCTTATAATACTTGAGGGTTTGGTGAGTGAAATTCTATCTAATTGTACAAATTTCTAATACAATGAAAGCTTTAATAGACCTAAATTGTTTTTCCTTTAACAATAAAAATCAGTATGAATGAAATTTCTCTTTAATTCTCAACAAGAATTACTTCCACAAGCAAAGTACAGCAAACTGTGATGTTTAAATTAAAAGCTTTCTTGAATCGAGGAGGGATTGGAGATATCTGTGGTCAGCTGGTGGAGACTGATCATCAGATTTCCTTCCAATCAACTGGTCCAATAAATAATTACACACTACAACATTTTAATTTCCCCTTTTGTGCATGTGGGCAAATTAATGAGAAGTACTTATGGGGACCATCTTCTTCATTCAGAAAATTATGAACTTTTCAATGTGTTAAAATCATTTCTAAAACTTATATAGAAGGAATATGGACTTGTTGCCCGAATTCTATTAGGAGTTCTATTGGAAATTGGTAGTATGATTTGAAGAAGTCTTGAAGAAGTCCAAGACGGATAAGAAAAAGCTTTTGGGATTTTAACAGTTTTTTCTCTCATATTCCAACTTAAATAATTCATTATTTGTTGACTCGTATGGAGTTAGTTGTGATCTTGTTGCTTGTGGTGATAATTCGAGCAAAATTGGTACCCAAGGTAATCTTATTGATAAGTAGTGTTTGGATTCAATTTACATTTGTTGAGTTTGTCCTTAATGGCTTTTGTGAAAGATTGGATAATTTTGTTGAGGAAGTTTTGGTAGAGAGTTTTGTTGGAGAATTTTGTTGAATAGTTAAGTTCTATTCCTTGTAGTGGAATTTGTCTCTAGGTGGAGAATTCTTGTAAAAAATTGAAGTTTTGTTTCTTTGAGTGGAATTTATGTCAAAGTAGAGATTTATTAGAATTTGCGTGTGATCTGAATTTTATTAGAAATTTAATTAGGAGTTCACAATTTTGGCAGTTTTTTCTCTCCTATTCCAACTCAAATACTCCATTATTTGTTAGACCTATTATTTTAGGATTTCACCTTATAGTAGAATGTTCATTGTATTATATTCTCCTAGTATTAGGTGTCAACGGAAGCAATTAAGGGGTTTCTTTCCATAATTAGTGTATATATGTAATTTCTTTTTCATTATATGGTGTAAATATAAATTCCATGATAGTCTCAAAAGTAGTTGTAATTGATAGAAATTAGTAAGTGATTTGTACCCTAATTTTCTATTTAATGGAACAGATTCTCACTATGAGGGTGATAAGTGTATACACTTATTTGGAGAATAAGATAACAATATTTGATATTTTTTTGACAAAATATATTATAAATTGTTGTATTTTATGTTATATATATAAAACTCAATGGTTGATCAAAGAATCGAAAGAAAGAAGCAAAAATTAGTGAAAATGTTGAAGTCCAAAATTTGAGGACCAAATTGAAATTATTCGATAGTTGATTCGGACTACAAGACAATATTTTGAAAATTTTTAGGAGACAACTTGATGGAATTAGAATTAAAAAAGGAATGGAATATGATGTGATCCATGATACGAGGGCAAGTCCGGGCAAAGAACCATTGATCGTTGAGGGAAGACCGATGACTAGATCGCAAGCGAACCAAGACATGGAAGCTATATGATTGCTTGATCAAGACACGATGGATGAAATATCGATCACAGCAAGCAACCGGACAAGTTTCATGTTGGGCTTGGAAGAAGAAACAAGATGGATCAACTTGATTCAAGCAGCGGAGATGAGAGTTGAATGGCG